GATATATATATATATATATATATATATATATATATATATATATGCCCATCCCTCCTCCTCCCCAGCCGTGTATGCTCACTCTTGCATGTATTTTAAAAATAGGAAAAATCTGAAGACACACCACCCAAGTTGGTTTCTAGTAGGCAGGGCAGAGAGTGGCTGCCTTTGGAAATGGGTTCTTTGAGGGTGATGGCATGGGGTTAGGTCATGATGCTGGATATACAAACTTGTGTCTATTCATTTCTTTTTAATTTTTAAGAATTATTTTCTTTGGGGCCAGCAGTTGGTGTAATGGCTATGTCACTGGATTCCCATGTAGTCGATTGCGATTTGAGTCCCGGACCCTGTGGCTTAAACTCACACCGGGTGCTTATGTGTGCGTGCCCAAGATCCTGAGAGGAGAATGGAGGAGAAGGGATTGCAGCTTGGCCATACTCCCTGGGGGCTGATTTCTCGCTTTCTATCTCTCTCTGTCTTTCTGGCGAGCATACATGCCCTATAGCAAAAACCTCTCCAAAAAAAAAATAATTCTTTTATTTAACTTTATCTGTTTTAATTTGACCAGAGAAGTACAGAGTGAGAGAGAGAAAGTAAGAAAGCAAGCCACCAGGTCTGGGACTCAAACCACAGTTAGCCAAGTGGGAGTCCAGTGCCTTAACCACCATACGACCTGCTGATCCGTGACTACTATTTCTTACCTCTTTTTTTTTTTTGGAGAGTTTTTTTTTGTTTGTTTGTTTGTTTGCTATAGAGTGCATGCGCTCACCAGACAGACAGAGACAGAGAGACAGAAAGCGAGAAATCACCCCCCAGGGGGGATGGTCACGCCACAATCCCTTCTCCTCCATTCTCCTCTCAGGATCTTGGGCACGCACGCACACACGCCCAGCGTGAGTTCAAGCCGCCGGGTCTGGGACTTGAGCCACAGTCAACGACATGGGAGTCCAGCAACATAGCCATGACGCTAACTGCTGGTTCCCCCGTGACTACTATTTCTAAAACCCACTGAGTTGTATACGTCAGAAGGGTGCGACCTCTTCTCAAATCTATTTAAACCCAGAAGTTTGTGTGGGGCGGGGTGGGAGAGGGGACAGCGGAGAGGACTGGCAGAGAGCAGAGCTGAGGCACATGCTCCGTGTCGTGGGTAGCAGAGGCTCCTCTAAGGGCAGGACGCTCTGTCCAGGAGAGCGCCCACATCTGCCACGCAGCTTCGAGTAGCCTGAACGAGGGGACAGTGATGTCAGCAAAATGGAGAGTAGAACTGATCGTCCCGGTCATTCTGGATGGAACGGGTGGAGCAGGGGCTTCAGTGGTCCTGCATTCATGTCCGGCTCCCCAGCCTGGCTCTGAGGACCCCCTCCTGCTCCCCTGTCTGAAGTCTAGCTATCTGGCTGCCCACCTGCCCCGGCCCCCAGGGAGGTCCTTAGGAGCCTTTGAGGGGAAAGGTCCGTTCACTTCCAGACTCATCATGGCTTCTGTCGGTTCCAGGTGGGGCTGGTGTACATGTTCAACCTCATCGTGGGCACAGGCGCGCTCACCATGCCCAAGGCCTTCGCCACCGCCGGCTGGCTGGTCAGCCTCGTGCTGCTGGTGTTCCTGGGCTGCATGAGGTAGGCGCGGGAGCTGCCACGCAGGGGGCCGCCATGCAGGGCACTGCCACCCGGCTCGCACGGTGCTGGGGCCGGCGGTGTGTCAGCCTGGGGAGCCTAACTGTGAGGGTGTCTGTGGGGCCGGAAGATGTCTTCTACCCCGTCTTGAGGGACGCGAGTCCTGCCAGGGTCCGGGCAGAGGAGTCCATGCAAAGGTCTCCCCGCGGCTCGTGCGACAGCACGGTTAAAACGCGAGGCCTCTGAGTCAGCTCCGGTGCACATGGTGTGGGCGGCTTCTCGCCGGGCAGACTTATCTCCCCGCTGTGTACTTTAATACTGTTACCGTCAGTTTTCGCTTTCTGAGAACGTACCATCTAGCCACACAAAAGGAATCTGGCAGACCTTCAGAGTGACATGGGAGGTCCGCCTGGGGCTTAGAATTTGTGTAAGAAAACCCGCCAAGTGATAAACACACGTCCACACAGCATCAGGTGGCAACCCCCTGCCCCACAGTGGCTGAACCCACAGCACCTCGCCTCGTACCTGGCGGCACACGGGAGCCAGGGCCGTGGGACTCGCAGGGAGCTTCTGTTGTGGCTCTTCCCAGAGACGCCTCTTGTGCGTCTGAGGTTAATTCTAGCGTGCCCTCAGCCCAGTAAGGGATGAGGACTAGCCATTTCCAGCCCCCTCAACCAGGTCGAATCCCCAAGTTGCAAAAAAAGAAAAAAGAAAAAAAAAAGGCGAGAAGGAACACCCAAAGCACCAGGGGGTGCCGTCTCCCCGCACCAGGCCCTGCTCTGGGCGCGTGCTTACTTTGTTGAACAAAGCGAAGCTGTCTGCCTCGCAGACTTGGCCTTCCGTGGGGTGGGCAGGTGACGAGTAGTGAAGGTAATGCGTGTGTAGATTGTACGGCGAGTTGGAAGGTGCCGAGCGAAGTGCAGCAGGGCGAGGGTGCTGGGAAGGCGGGTGGGCCGGGGGCCATGGGGGCGGCATGGAGATTTGGAGAGTGGGGACCAGAGGGAGAATGGGACAGAGCTTAGGAGCAGAAGCGAACTAGGACCTAGAAGGGGCTGGATGAGATGGGGTGAAGCTTGGGGTGCTGCTGACACTACATTCTCCAGTCCCTGGCTGCCCAGAGCCGTAGAAGACCTTGTCCTTAGGTGGCTCTGTGCTCCCTTTAAAGCTCTGTCAGCACAGGCAGCCACTGGGTGGGAAGTGGTGGTTGGGAGCCCCCAGCCGCCCTCCCTGTTCAGCCCACAATCACGTTTGTGGGGAACATGATCGATGAGTTGGCGTGCTATAACATGAGAAGTCTCATTATGCCTTAATTAAGATTGATTTGGGTTTCACTTCCTTTAGGAAGTGAAAAAGCCTTTAAAATGGTCACTTGAGCAAGAAAACGAGAATCCCGTCTAGGAGGTGCTGGCTGTGCGGTGGGAGGGGCAGAGCAGGCGGCCCCCAGAGGTGGAGCTGCTGTGGGTTCAACCACTGTGGGGCAGGGGGCTGCCGCCTGAGGCCTGCTGCCTGCCGCCCGCCCGGGTGGAGCGGTCGGCACTGGAGGACTCAGGGCAGGTCTGGCCGCTGTCCGCACAGCCTGGAGAAACGGGGGTGCTCGCCCCGGGGTGTCCGTGGCAGGGATAGGTCCGCACCTGGGGTCTGCTGAGCCGGAAGGCAGCCCACCTGCGTTATCAGAGGCGTCTGTCCGAGCTGTCATCTTTCAGGGGGAAAGAAAAGGTGATTTTTCCACTCTGCAGTGTCGGGTGCCACCTCTCAATCCCCTTTTGATTTGGGTCATAGAAATGCATGCTTACTTTAACGCGAGCCAGATTATCCCGAGAGCAGCACTGCGAAAGGAAAACAAGGACGGACCCAGGGCCAAGTGCTCGTTTTCAATTACCCGAGCCCGCGCCCCTTCCATTAGTGCATGGAATTGGGAGCTGGCCGCTCAGCCGCTCCTCTGTCCTAGCAAGGTGAGCTGGGAGCTGCCGCGTCTTTGCAGAGGCTGGGGGGCCCCCTGTGGGTCAGCCGCCCCCCCCC